CCGACTGCGCCACCCAGGCGCCCCTAAAGTTTATTTATTTTTGAAACAGAGAGAGAGTGGGGGGGGGCAGAAAGAGAGGGAGAAAGAGAGAATCCCAGGCAATCTCCATGCCGCCAGCACAGAGCCCAATGGTGGGGCTTGAAACCACGAATCATAAGATCATGACCTGAGCCGAAATCAAGAGTTGGGCCTTTAACCGACAGAGCCACAAGTGCCCCTATTTGCTTTTATTTTTTAAGAAAGCTTATTCACTTTGAGAGAGAGTGTGTATGAGTGTGTGTGTGTGTGTGCGTGTGTGCACGCACGCACGCACACACAAGTTAGGTAGGGACAGAGAGCATGAGAGAGAGAATCCTAAGCAGGCTCTGCGCTGTCAGCACACAGTCCCTCACAGGGCTCCATCCCAGGAACCGTGAGATCATGACCTGAGTGAAATTAAGAGTCCAATGCTCAACCGACTGAGCTGCCCAGGCGCCCTGGGAATACACTTTCCATAAGGTTCTTGATGGCTTTTGCCAAATTGCCCTGCAGATATTAGTTTACGTGCACCCTAGTTTACAGGGGACTGCCCTCCATTTGCTTTATAGTGTCTACCTGAGCAACTAAAACAACCCAAGCGCTCAGTCTTTAGGCTTGGCAGCAAGATCTAAATACTCCAAATGGACCTCAGGTGGGCTCAGGGTAGCTTGGCAAATGGTGAACTGCCTCATTCTTAGAATAGGTAAGGGCTCCTGTGAAATTAGACCTGAATCTAAAATGGCATACTCGAAGGGCTGAAACTCTTATAATTTATCTCTATTTTAACTCATTATGTTTCTTAGCTGTAGAATGATGGCACATATCCTCCCTGAAAGATCAAGATCAAGTAGCTTGTCCACACTCCCTGAGTAGTTCAAGATGGTGGCTATTCTTCTTTTGTGTTCTGTAAGAGAAATAGGCCCAGAAGGCTATTCTGAAAAGATCTAGAAAAAAGTGTTTGAATTTGTGGTGGTTTTTTTTTTTTTTGACATTTAATTTTTGTCAGGCAACATTTAGTTTTGTTCATTGAGTAATTTTTTTTTTTTTTTTACAGATGTGGGTTTGACATTTCAATTATTCACTTCAACAGAATACATTCAATTCAAACAAATATATTGAGCACTTTCTTAGTGCAGGGCATTGGGCTAGGTGGGGGGTTGGAGAAAGATGAATAAGGTAAGGCTCCCCATCATTATGTTGCACTCATTCATTCACTCATCCATTCGTTTTTGTAAATCAGTTCAAAACACTTACCTGCAATTAAATATACCACACCTATAATAAAAAACGTAGAAAATAAGAAAACAAATATTATTTACAATTTCAGTAACCAGAGGCTACCACTGCTAATACTTTGTGTTTTCTTCCAGTCTCTTTTTGTAAACCTATGTCTTATATGTGGCAGCTATGTATGTGTGTGTATAAGTAATTTATATTTAAATGTAGTTAAGATTTATTCATCCAACAAATGGTTTTTTGTACACTAACTATATTTCAGAACTGGTATAGACACAATGAAAGGAAATACTCTTTACTCCCAAAGACCTCATAGTTTTAGTGAGGACATTGATTATGTGTAATATAATATGATAAGTGTAATAGCATTTTCACTTAAGAAGACTAACGCTGACCCTTCCTGATTAGGGGACTCAATCTGGGAAGGTTTTTGTTTTTTTTTTTTAATTTTTTAAAAATGTTTTTTATTTATTTTTGAGAGAGAGAGAGAGAGAGAAAGAAAGAATATGAGCTGGAAAGGGGCAGAGAGAGAGGGAGATACAGAATCTGAAGCAGCCTCCAGGCTCTGAGCTGTCAGCATAGAGCCCGCAGGGCTGGAACCCGTGAACCACGAGATCATGACCTGAGCCGAAGTCGGACGCTTAACCGACAGCCATCCAGGTGCCCCTCAATCTGGGAAGGTTTTAATGAGGAAGTAGTTTTGAATCTGCGTTGAGCTTAGTGGAACAGTCTCAGAAGAAATAGCATGTGACATATCACCCATGTGCTGTAAAGTATGATGTGTTTTGGGCATTGCATGTGGTGCATTATTACTGAAGAAGAACGGTTGTTGGGCATGAGGATGAAAAGGCCATGGGGTGGGGACAGATCATGTTCTGCTGGGAGTTTGAACTTGGTTCTTTGGCAGTGGGAAGGGTTTTGAAGGATTTTAAGCAGGGGATTGATTTTTTTTTTTCTAAAGTTCTTTTTGTCTGTATTGAGAGGGTAAGGGCTCAAAGGAAAGATTACTAAAACAATTACTATATATGTTGTTTATTCAAGCTATCTACTTAATTCTTAAAACAATTATTTTATCATACTGTCTTCCCACAACAGTCCTACAAGATAAGAATTATGTTTGCATTTCACAGATAATGGCAAATAGAAGATAATACAATTGTCCAGAATTCTCCTCGTTAGGCAAAGGCAGGCTTAGAGGACACATTTCTTGATTCTTAGTTTTTTTAATTGCCTTTATTTTATTTTTATTTTTATTTTTTTATTTTTTTTTATTTATTTTTGGGACAGAGAGAGACAGAGCATGAACTGGGGAGGGGCAGAGAGAGAGGGAGACACAGAATTGGAAACAGGCTCCAGGCTCTGAGCCGTCAGCCCAGAGCCCGACGCGGGGCTCGAACTCACAGAACGCGAGATCATGACCTGGCTGAAGTCGGACGCTTAACCGACTGCGCCACCCAGGCGCCCCTAATTGCCTTTATTTTAAAGTAACCTCTACACCCAGTGAGGGTTTGAACTCACAACCCTGAGATCAAGAGTCGAATGCTCTACTGACTGAGCCAGCCAGGTGCCCCAGTTGTTTTTGTTTGTTTGTTTGTTTTGTTTTGCTTTACTGCTTTTAACCCAGATTTTTCATGCAAGACCCATTTCCTTGGCTCGAGTGATGTTGGTGGACACAATAATAATTGTGCTTTTCCCACAGACTTCCAATAAATAAAGCTTGGTGTGATCTTAGTACCAAAAGAATGCTTGGAATCATATTTCATTCAAAGGAAGAATGAACTTGCAATGAAATTGGCTGCCAAGGATGCTATTGATGCCTTATTACTTCTAAATTAGTATTCCAATGCTCTAAAGAGAATTCAGCTGCATCTGTCTTACTTTTCAGTAGAATAAAGACAGATGATGTTGAATTGAGTGAGGCTGAATCAGGGAGATGAACAGTTACACAGAAGTGCTGGTTTGGTGAAATCACAGTAGAGTTTTACAATTCCATTTTTATCAGAGCTCATTTGAAACCAAAAATTACAGACAAGGTGAATTTGTTCATTATTTTTTTCAGTTTCATCTATAGCATAGGAATACTGCTCTCTCACCCAACTTTCAGGTGGTTGTCAAGACAATGACAATATAAAAACATCTTGAAAGAAGATGTGGATTATGAAAGGTTATCCAGTGACTTTGGAAGTAATGATTCAGCCTCATTCTTAGTTTTCTCACCTGTAAAATGTGGGAGCAATGCCTACCTTACAGGATTGCTGTGAGAATTAGCTAATGTGGCATTTTTTAAACATATTTTTAAATTCTATTTATTTATTTTAACAAAGAGAGAGAGAGAGAAGCAGAGAGAGAGGGAGAAACAGAAAATACCAAGGAGGCTCCATGATCAGTGCAGAGCCCGACACCATGACCGTGAGATCATGACCTGATCCGAAATCAAGAATTGGTCGCTTAACTGACTAGGAGCCACCCAGGCGCCCCTAACTAATGTGGCATTTTTAGGTAGGATGACATTTTTTTTTTTTTAATTTTTTTTTTCCTTTTTTTTCAACGTTTTTATTTATTTTTGGGACAGAGAGAGACAGAGCATGAACGGGGGAGGGGCAGAGAGAGAGGGAGACACAGAATCGGAAACAGGCTCCAGGCTCCGAGCCATCAGCCCAGAGCCTGACGCGGGGCTCGAACTCCCGGACCGCGAGATCGTGACCTGGCTGAAGTCGGACGCCCAACCGACTGCGCCACCCAGGCGCCCCTAGGATGACATTTTTAAGTAGTCCTTATATCCCTCTAGACCTAGTGGGTATGGTTGCTCAGCCAATCTGTGTTCCTTTGTGTTGGCTTGATAGGACCAGATTCTAGTTTTTTAATTTTTCTATCTTGTAAGGACACTGTGATGTAAGCCCTTTGCATAAGGATTCTTTAAATACTAGGTTTTCTGAATTGCAACTTTTGTCTGGTCTCTTTTGGGTGGGAAGTACAAGAAGATTTGTAGATTCCATCTCTCTTTTACTTTTCTAGTTAAAAATCATTCCTCAGACATCGCCATATGCTCATTTGGCTTTGGGATTTGTTTCATTTCGAAAGGAGATAAGGGTTCTTCTGTTTGGAGAGAGGATGTTTTTTTCAGTTACCCGCATTGAAGGTTCTTCTGAATACTTTAAAGAGCCCTGTGATTTGAGTTCTTATTTTAATAGTTCTTTGGAGATAGATTTTGGCAAACAGTAATCTGCCTTGCCTGAAGCACTGTGTGAGTTCTGTGTGGCTTTCTTGAACCCTGACACGCTAACCTGATGTCACAGAGTTGCCGGAAACTTGAAGATATCAAAGGAATGGCATCTTTACCATGTAAAACAATTTCAGTTGTTGCTCTTTCTTTCCATGGATATTGGTGGTGGGTATGACAGGACATGGTACCTGATGTTGCAGGAATGGCCAGGGGTGATTGCAACTAAAAAAAAAAAAAAAAAAGAAAGAAAAAAATGAGTAGTGTTTATCAGTTCAGGTAATCTGAGATTCCTTGAACTGTCTTAGGTACCTCACAGGGCAAAGCAGTCATGGTATTGGCCTTCAAAGAACTTGTTGATGGAGGTAAAGAGGACTAGTGTTTACTTTAGCTATGGTTTTGGGGGGAGGGAGGTATTGTTTTGTTGTTTGAGCGATGGGAGTTATGGAGAACTGGGTCACACAGATCTGTGTGACATGGGGGGATGTTCTGTTGGAATTTAAGTTGGGCTGGAAAGACGGAAAGAATGGACCTTGAGAATAAGGCAGCAGGAGAAATTGTTCCAAGTGAGGCTTTTCCTGAGGCCGGAGAAATGGATGAAGGGATTGCACAAGATGGGCGGAAGGTTGCACTTCGGAGGCCTCACTGTGGGGACAAGGTGTGTTGACTTGTGTCACAGGATGATTGTGGTTGATGGAAGGGGTGGGTCCACAGAGAAAATGGGAGGTAAAAGCAGGACTTTTTTGTAGGTTACTGACTTCTGGAGCTGAAGTCCAGAAGAGGAGAAGTCTGAGGTTCTATCTGAAAGAGTTTAACCTGACTCTGAGATATAGTTGTGAAGATGTGCTAAACAGAGACATATATGGAAATTGGTTAATGAAATGCTGAAGTTTTGCTAAAGGCTAAGAGTCAGGAATGATGTCACGTTAGAGACTAGAGAATTTATCTCTGTAGGATTTAGGGCATAAAAATGAATGAAGGGAAGTCTTGTGTGTGACGGCAATGTATAGGTACTGGGAGATGGAGAAATCTGTTAAAGAGTGGAGATTAGTGCTTGCACCAAACACTGGAGGCCAGAAGTCAGTGATGCCACCGCTGTAGAGAACATGTGACCCTAAGGAAGACAGACAGGAAAGAGAATTTTGTGACACTTATAGGGAGTTATCCTACTTCTTAATTTTCATTTTTTTAAAGATTTTGGTAAGTAAGTAAGTATGTATGTATGTATGTATATATTTATTTTAAATGTTTATTTATTTTTGAGAGAGAGACAGAGCATGAACAGGGGAGGGGCAGAGAGAGAGGGAGACACAGAATCCGAAGCAGGCTCCAGGCTCTGAGCTGTCAGCACAGTCGGATGCAGGACTTGAACTCACAAACCATGAGATCATGACCTGAGCTGAAGTTGGACACTTAACCAACTGATCCACCCAGACACCCCGAGTTTTTTTAATTTATTTTTGAGAGAGAGACAGAGAGAAGAGGGAGCAGGGGAGAGTAAGAAAGAGAGAAAAACAGAGAGAGAATCCTAAGCAGGCTCCGCACTGTTAGCACAGAGCTCGATGCAGGGCTCAAACCCATGAACCACAAGATCATGACCTGAGCACAAACCAAGAATCAGACGCTTAACCCTGACTGAGCCACCCAGGTGCCCCTTTCATTGTAATTTTTGTAATTCACTATAGGCAAACTTGTTTGGGACAAGGCTGGCTGGCGCTGTTCTGATTTTTTGCCAGATGACCGAAATCAATTGCATGAATTGTAAACTCAGAAGTTTGTAGAAGGGCATGTTTTATATCTGCCAGCATGGCTCTGCTGAGCGTCAACACTGATTGGTGGGTGATGTCCCACACCTGCAGGGGAGAGTCAGACCCTGCCTGGTTTCTACTGATGACTCTGGCTTGTCTCTCTTTCTGATAACAAGATGGCAGAAACCTTGAAACAAGGCAGCCACTGGCCCTGATCCTTCCTGTGTTGCCCCTCTTCCCACAGAGGTCACTCTCTCCTCCCTGGGATCCTAAGGAAGTTGGGAACCAGTGACCCTTTTGTGGGGTTTGGCGGCCCATCTGAAGGTTTGTCTTCAGAGACAGAGCATGTAGGGTTCTTGCAAAGGCGCTAGTCTCCAGGAATATGAAGACCCTTCCAGTCTGGAAGCCAGTCGAGGGGTACTTTGGGAGGAGGACCCCTTCAGGACTGCATGAAGTGTGCTCTTTAGCAATTAGATGTAGAATTTTGTGGGGCCGAGACAGAGAACTTCAAAAGAGATCATTTGGTGTGTGGGTGGTTTTTGAACAGCCAACCTCTTTTGGCCTGTACTTTGGGATCATAAATTCTATCTAAAACCCTCCTATTGGCCTGTTTCAGTGGAGACAAGTGGATTAAATAAAGGCTTATCACCTGTCTAGTAAGCACTTGGCTCAGGGATGGCATATAGAAGGCACTGAATACATTTTCATTGGAATGAATTTATTGACTGATTGACTGAAAGAATGAATAAAATAAAGTGCTAAATTCCCAGGCCCTGCAGTAAAAGCCAGACACTCCCCTTCACAGCTCTGTTTACTTTCTCCCTCCCTTCTTCCCCCATTCCCTTCAGTTCCCTCGCAGTCTCTAGGACCCCCCTCCTCCTTATCTTACAAAATTTCTCTAAACTCAGAACCAGGATGCTTTCTTCCTCACATTTGCCATAGGTAATCAATGCCAGGAGCTTTGAAAGCTTAGATTATTACAACAGGTCCTTTCTCCTTCCTTGAGTACTTTTCTTTCCCTAGCTGAACTTTGTTGATTCTGACAAATGGGGTACTCTGAAGTTACGGAATCAACATTAATTGATGATGTAGTATGTATTATGTAGAGATATGATGCAGAGTAGGCTTTGTTGACATTCAGCAGAAGTTATGGTTTCCTAGCTTTGAGACGTTCTAGAAAGCATCCTCTGCCTTTTGTTTTTGGAACAGTCGAGTTTGCTAATGAAACGATCCACAACTACAAAAATAACAAGTACACTAGTGCCTCCCCACCCTGCTCCACCTCTGCCATCTTTAAGTGTGTGTGCTTAAAGAAAGCAAGAAAGCAAGCAGGGGTGCCTCGCTGGCTCGGTTGGTAGAGCATGTGACTCTCGATCTCAGGGCCCCATTTGGGTGTAGAGATTACTTAAAAATAAAATCTTTAAAGGGGTGCCTGGGGGGCACCTGGGTGGCTCAGTCAGTTGAGTATCTGACCTCAGCTCAGGTCATGATCTCGCGGTCTGTGAGTTCGAGCCCCGCGTCAGGCTTTGTGCTGACAGCTCGGAGCCTGGAGCCTGCTTCAGATTCTGTGCCTCCCTCTCTCTCTGCCCCAACCCACTCGCATTCTGTTTCTGTCTCTCTCAAAAATAAATAAACATTAAAAATAAATAAATAAATAAAGGCATGCCTGGGTGGCTCAGTAGGTTAAGCGTCCAACGCTGATTTCGGCTCAGGTCATGATCTAGCAGTTCGCGAGTTCAAGCCCTGCATGAGGCTCTGTGCTGACAGTGTGGAGCCTGCTTGGGATTCTCTCTCTCTGCCCCTATCCCACTCTCTCTCTCTCTCTCTCTCTCTCTCTCTCTCTCTCAAAATAAATAAATAAACTTAAAAAGAAAATAAAATCTTTTAAAAAAAGGACGCAAAGCAAGGTAAGTTTTTCCGTTAGAGAACAAAAAGAAAGGTTGTGTGCCTTCTTTTTTTCTTTAAAAGCGTTTTAACACATGAATTGCTTTGTCCTATAAGCAAAACCTCAAAACTGTACTTTGAAATTAAGCTTGTGAAAAGAAGAGTAAACACTAGAAGAGTCTGAGCACCATATGGAGAAGGGCCATGGACAGAACGAAACGCAGGACACTTTCCTCTTGTTTCCTCTTTTATTTAGTAAGATGTGATGTTCTTCTCTCTGCCTGCTTTTATCTGTCTAGCAAAATGGAGAAATAATACTCCTTACCAGTAAATAAGAGTCACATTATTATTATTATTTTTTTTTATTTTTTATTTTTTTCAACGTTTATTTATTTTTGGGACAGAGAGAGACAGAGCATGAACGGGGGAGGGGCAGAGAGAGAGGGAGACACAGAATCGGAAACGGGGTCCAGGCTCCGAGCCATCAGCCCAGAGCCCGACGCGGGGCTCGAACTCATGGACCGCGAGATCGTGACCTGGCTGAAGTCGGACGCCCAACCGACTGCGCCACCCAGGTGCCCCAAGAGTCACATTATTTAGGAAGTAGTGTTATTTATAAATACTTCCCAGTCCCCTACCAAATTGTAAAAGGAGGGGGATTTAGTGAGAGAAGCCTTCTTAGAGTCCTAAATATAACGTCTTTTTAAGATAAGGAAGTACCATTAACAGACCATTTGGGGTCGGGTGGAGATAGCCTTATGTAGGTAAAGGCAAAAAGTATCTGGCTGAAAATACAAGAGTAAAATGAACTTTAAGGAGTGATTCTATAAGGATGTGGGTTTGTGGCTAATTCAGTCTCTCACTCTGGTCTGCTTTGGCTCCTCCTGTGTTTATTAGCATTCACAGGCTGCCTCTGTGATGCCTCCCCAGCCCAACCCTAAGGTCTCACACACCCTCCTCTGGCCTCTACTATCTTCTCCGCCAACTCTCCTGAATTCCAGTCATGGCCGTTCTTCTCCGAAATAGTGAGAATGTCCTGGGCAGAAAGTCTCCCTTCCTTTGTTTCTTCAGCACCAAGCATAATGTCTCGTGCTTTGTAGGCACATAGTAGGCACTTGGCTGAATTAATGTGCGAGTGGATTAATAATGGAGTTTACAAACACATAAACAGCTAACTAAGCAAGATGAGGTGAATGCTAACGAGAAATACCCACAAAGGTGTTGGGGATGGTCGGAGAACAGAAATAAATCTACAAGGAATCACAAAATGCCTCAGAAGGATAGCGTTGGAATGTTAGGAAGGTTTCCAGGCACGGGGAAACATGAGCAAAAATACAGAAGCAGTAAAATACATTACACAGATGGGGAATGTTACATAGTCCAATGAAGATGCAGTGGATCTAAACCTGGGGAAAGAGTTTAGGGCACTTATAAACCGCCCTGAATGGCACGCTAAGGAGTAGTTAGGGTGGCCTAGTGGCACAGGGCATAGACTCTGGAGCTGGCTGGCCTGCCATCACGTACTAGCTACCAGCCCTTAGGCAGATCTCTTAGCCCTCAAGTCTTGTTTCCTGATCTGTGAAGTGAGGGTAGGCTAACTCGCGTGCTGGTGTGAAAAGGCGGCAGAAAGAGGAAAGAGAGCAAGGGTGTGAGAACAGTAAGGAGGCCTTTAGATCATCCACTGACTAACACCACGCCTGCCCATCACGGGTATTCAGTAACAGATGAATGAATGAATGAATGAATGATCCACATGAGTGCCTGGGACAGTGAACTAGGCCAGTGGCTGTGGGAATATACAGGTTAATTTTGGTCCTTGCTCTTAGCTCTTAAAGAGGTTTGGATGAGAACAATATGAAACCTTAAAAACATTATTTTTGTAACCTGTGTTTCTTACCTATGCACATTTCAAGTGTTAATCTAAATATAAAAAAAAGAATTATAATAGTATAGCTTACAAAATTGTAACTTGGAGAGGAAATTGAGAAGAATATAATGTACAAAAGCAATTTGGAGGAATCCTAAGAAGGGGGCAAACCCTTTGTATTTTACGATGCTTTGTCTGCATTCTGTTTTGTTTTTCTGTTTCTTTTATTAAAAATATTTCCTATTTTTTGTTTTTCATAGCGGAACACTTTCCAGGCAGTTTTGGCGTCTGATGAGTCTGATACCTACGCCCTCTTTCTTTACCCTGCCAATGGCCTTCAGTTCTTTGGAACCCGCCCCAAAGAGTCTTATAACGTCCAGCTCGAGCTTCCTGCCCGGGTGGGCTTCTGCCGAGGGGAGGTCGATGACCTGAAGAGAGAGGGTCCCTACTTCAGCTTGACAAGCACTGAACAGTCTGTGAAGAATCTCTACCAGTAAGTAACTCAGGGCATAAGCCCTTCCCTGTCTGATGTTGAGGACCCTTTGGAGCTACCCAAACTCAAGCGGCCATAAGACCATTAAATAATATCTTGGGGGCTTCCACTGGAGGCATCAGGTCAAAACCAGGAACTAGATTAGACCCTAGGGGGAACAAATTCACCAAAATATAAAAGGCCCTTTATTTTTCCTGCCCTATTGGGTATAGATACCGGAAACAGAACAGTGTTTATGTGTTTGCACAGCCACTGAGGCTTGCTATGGAAAACATTGCTCTTGGAGCCGCATAAAAATGTCCAGTAATATAACTGCCCAGACTGAGATTTTTCCAAGTTAATCATTTCACCAGAGGAGATGTTGTGATTTAGTCTTTTAGGCAGATACACGTTAAAAGTTAAATCAAGTGTAGTGTAATTTGGGGAAAAGGGAAAACCAAACACATTGGTAGCATTTTAGAGGTCTCGGGGTTTCTGTATGGCTTCATTAACTGAAACCATACTGGTTGGTTTTCCATGAGGTCGCCAGAACTGAGCACATTCCTCAGTGCCATCAGAGGCTTCCTCTGCCAGTGCAATAATACGCCCTTGTGCTATGTGTCAGTCCGCATCAACACCATATCTGGGTCGGCACCATTTCATAACTTACTAATTTCAGGGCTTGTAAAAACTATCTTTGCTTTTATTCCTTTCCCTAATACTGGGCTAGAATCCAGGCGGAATACACTGTTTACTTAGCCTTCCTTAACTGTGTCTCCCTTCCATTATGTTATTCCTGGGCACTGCAGTACCTCACACTTTTACATGCCATCCGCTCTACTCAGCTATCAGAGAGCAGGCCCTACAACCAGATCTGGTTACTTAGTGCTGACATGTTTTGAGGGCTTATTAGTTGCCAAACATCGTGTAAAACACTTTGCAGAAGTTGTCTTAGTTAAAACTCACAGGAATCCTGGGAGGTAAGTTCTACTATCTTCTCAATTTGATAAATGAGCTTAGGGAAGTGAAAGTACGACCTCAAAGTAATTAAGTGGCAAGGCCAAACTTCAAGCACAAGTCTGGAGTCCCCAACTCCTTCTTTTATGCTGAATCCCGCTCTGCTTTCCCAGTCTTCTGACCAACCTTGGGCATCTTTAGGTCTCCATCCAGGCTGCCTTTTAGTTCAGACGTGAGAAAATTTAGCTGCTTGCTTTCTCTCCTCTGGTTTCACCTTCCTCTTCGTCTCTGGAGGCCACAGATTCTCTACTCCTCAGACGTTGTTAAGAGTTCACGGTGGGCAAAGCACTTGAAATGCAAAGATGTTTGAGACAGCGGCCCTGCACACTAGCAACCTATACTCTGGTAGACAGACAAATGGGTAGAATTTCAGAGCACTGGAATGAGTGTTGACTCTACTCCTGGTACAGGAGGCGGTGGGGGCCAAAAAGTCTGTAGGAAAAAGCAGTTGCGCTCCCCACCACGGTGATAAAAACCCTTTGGAACTAACACACATGCTTACACATGTGCACACACACATGCGCACACACGTGCACACAAAGACTTGCACGTGCATACACACACACACGCAGCACTCCCATTTACCTCCCTCCGTGCCTGCCCTCATTTGTGTCTTTGATGCTTCTTCTGAGTTCCTTGCTGAGAACAGAAGATAGGGGACTAACAGATTTTTCTGAAGTATAGCTCATACTTAATATAAAATATAAAGTACAGGGGCGCCTGGGTGGCGCAGTCGGTTGGGCGTCCGACTTCAGCCAGGTCACGATCTCGCGGTCCGTGAGTTCGAGCCCCGCGTCGGGCTCTGGGCTGATGGCTCAGAGCCTGGAGCCTGTTTCCGATTCTGTGTCTCCCTCTCTCTCTGCCCCTCCCCCGTTCACGCTCTGTCTCTCTCTGTCCCAAAAATAAATAAACGTTGAAAAAAAAAAAAATAAAGTACAAACACACGGAATAATGTGAAATAAAAGCACAAATTGCCCGTTATCACTGCTTCAAGCAATAACCAGTATTAGCAGTCATTCTAACTTAAGAATTATGCAAAAACTTTCTAAAACCAAAATGGTTCTTTTGCTATACATGTAGCATTTTCCCATTTATCAATGTCTTATAGGTATCATTCACTAAGATAATCTGTTCGTCTTATCGTTTTAAGGCTATCGAACATTGCATCATTTTTATACCACACTATGAAGATAAAAACTTACTGATGAATTTGTTTTTTATCTTTCCTTTTAGAAATATCATTGCAGTACACAGCATAACACACATTGCTCAGATTCTTATTTCTGGTAAAGATAACCTCTTAAGAGTGGAATTGCTGAGAAAGGGTAGATACAGTTTTAACGCTTTGATGTACATCAACAAACTGCCATTCAGAAATGTGCAATTTCTATGCTCACCAATAGTATAGAACTGTGATCAACAGCTTCTTGTTAATATTTGTGAATCTGGTAGGTATCAATTGCTATCCTCACTCTAATTTCTTTGATTGGATCCTCACTCTCATTTCTTTGATTACACCTTTTCATAGGTGTAATAGCCATTTATCCATCTTTGTGACTTCTCTGCCCATGCCCTTTGCTATTTTCTACTGGGGTGTGCACGGAGAGCTCTTATAAATAAGAAAAATTACAGCAAGAGTATTAATTCTCTCATATGCTGTGAATATTTTTGCCCAGTTCATCTTTTTTTTTTTTTTAATTTTTTTTTTCAACGTTTATTTATTTTTGCGACAGAGAGAGACAGAGCATGAACGGGGGAGGGGCAGAGAGAGAGGGAGACACAGAATTGGAAACAGGCTCCAAGCTCTGAGCCATCAGCCCAGAGCCTGACGCGGGGCTCGAACTCCCGGACCGCGAGATCGTGACCTGGCTGAAGTCGGACGCTTAACCGACTGCGCCACCCAGGCGCCCCTAGCCCAGTTCATCTTCAAAGTTACTCCACATCGAGAAGCTGTAGGTTTAGTGTCCTCAAAGATAGTACTCTTTTCCTTTGTTATTCTTAGAAAGGCTTTCCCTACCTCCCCATTGTGGAAATGGTCCTCAGTTTAACCTTCTATTTTACTTTTCCGAATTTAAATTTTCAAAAATACACAGAAAAGTGGAGAAAATAGCTGAATGAATACCCAGAAGCTCATCGGTTAGATTGAGAAGCTGTTGACATTTTGCCATATTATTCATCATTTTTAAAACACTTAAGTATTTTAAGGTAAATCACAAACATCATGCTAATGCTAAATACTAAATACTTCAGTATGCATCTCTAAATAATAAAATTATCTTCCTAGTCAGTGGAATCTTTGTCTTCCTCAAACTTGTCTTATAATTGTGAACTTAAAGGTAATGAATTATCTAATCCATAGTGTATTTGGCATAACTCCTCTTCTGCAAATTTAAATGCGAATGCACACGTTTGTGTTTTTTGAAATTATACTCTTCTGTCTCCTGAAAGACAGTAATTACTAAGTACTAATCGTGTGCAGGGCCTCATGCTAGGCATTTTATGTGGTGTTCTTACTTAATCCTCCTAACAGCCCAGGGAGGAAGGCACTGTCATCCCACTTTGTGGCCTTGTTTTCCTTTGTAGAAAATAAATTAAATTTTCTCTATCTCTGAGCTTTCCAAATGACCTCGGATTTTAGGATAAACTCAAACTGGTTACTTTCCCATCACGCACAACAACAAAAACCAGGATACTGATTTATATTTCATTAGAGAGTTGTTTTATTTAGCGGTTTTCTGCCATAATTTGTATTTTCCTAGTCTTTGAAACTTTTATGGTTTTTCTAACTTCAAGAAGAAATTTCATAGCTGCAACACCTCTGATGCGATAATATAAACTAACTATCCTCAGATCCTCAGGATTCTCTCTTCTTACTTAAGCGTTCCTTATTTGCTTGCCGGAAAAACACCAACATGGAATCTTAGAACGTACCAAGCATATATAGCATACTGCACAAGAGATCACAGTTTTGTTTTCTCTGCTCCTCTTTCCCTAAAGTAACTATAAGAGCAGCAGCAGAAACAATAACCACAACACACACACACACACACACACACACACACACACACACACACAAGATAGAGAGTGGGAGAGGGGAAGGTGGACAGGAGGAGAGGAAAAAAAGGGCAAGGGATGGGCAGACAAGGAGGGAAGGAGACATTCTTAGAATTGTACTGAAGTTATTATTGCTATGGAAATCCATGTGAACATGATGAGTTCCTACCCAAATGAGCAATGATTCTTATAATGATTCGATAAATTTGTTATTCTCTAAATTAAGTCTTATGCCTCACTGACCCCCATAATTTTTTTGATTAGAGGGGGGACTTTGAGCTTGGTATTTTGCACATACACCAGAGGAGTACAGAAACTGGTGCATTCAAGCTAGCCAGACCCTTGTTTGTTCAAGTTTTTGTTGTTGTTGTTTGTTTTTGTTTTTATTTTTTTTTAGAAGTCTTTTATGTAGTTCTCTTTAGAATGTATCATTGACTAAAATAATGGATCCTTGGGGCATTGAGAAAACTGAGTGGGGTCCATGTTCTTTTCTAATAAAGAAAACACATGAGCTCTCTGGTTCCAGATGTTTTTGAACACCTCTCACCTATAACCCATGGAATTTTGATTAAACTATTTTCTTTTTTTTTTCTTTTTTAAGGTTATTTATTTATTTTGAGAGAGAGAGAGAGTGCACGTGCACATGCGGGGGTGGGGGGACAGGAAGAGAGGGAGAGAGAAAGAATCCTAAGCAGGCTCTGCCCAGTCAGTGCTAAGCCTGATATGGGACTTGATCCCACTAACCGTGAGATCATGACCTGAGCTGAAATCAAGAGTTGCACGCTTAACGGACAGAGTCACTCAGGTGCCCCAAAACTACTTTCTGATATTCCCCTTAACTTTGTTCTGCGTTTGCTCAACATTTTTTACACTTGGGCTGTATATTTCTTTGAGTGTTTTTACATTGACTCACAATTTTATGTGAGTTAGTTTATTGATTAATCCATGTGATTAAACAGTGAAATGTCTGTAACATTCTGAAGACCAGTGATCATTCAGATGCCGATTGACTCTAGTATATTGGTTTTCTGACATAAGGTAGATATTTAGAGCATGGGCTTTGGTGTTAGTGGTGAATTCGTGTCCAAGCTTTGCCAGTTATTAGTTGTATGACCTTAAGAAGATTGGTTAGCCTCTCTAAACTATTTTCACCTCTGTAAAATTGGGCATAATGACTGCCCCTACCTTGTAGATTGTACTGAAGAACATTAAGCACTTGGTATATCACTAAATCTCAAAAGTACGTAGTTGTCACTGTTTTAAGTGTTTAACAAAGTTGTATAAGCATACATTTTTCTGAGTGTGTTAAAAGTAGAGGACATATAAAATATTCCTGCATTCTCTATTTGTTTTCAAATAGCCAGATTTTAGATAAAACATGTGAATTTTAGAGATTTTTTTTTCTTTTTTAAAACGTTTATTTATTTTTGAGGGAGAGTGGAGGAGGGGCAGGGAGAGAAGGAGAGAGAGAATCTCAAGCAGGTTCTGTACTGTCAGCGCAGAGCCTGATGCAGGGCTCAAACTCACAAACCGAGAGATCATGCCCTGAGCTGACAGCAAGAGTCAGAGGCCAAATTGACTGAGCCACCCGGGTGCCCCTTAAAGCAGATTTCTAATTTGATGGTCCAGCATTCTGAAAGCTAATGTTGAGTAAGAGGTAGTTTACATCAAAATTCCAGTATAATCCTTTTAGTTAGCACATAAGCCTGGTTTTATTTGGTTTTATACACTGATGAAAACTCTGAATCTGATTTTAACAGTGTTTCAGTTTTAAAATAAATTGCTCACCTTTGTTGGATGGTGGGTGAATGGACACTTTGGTCATGCACTGTTTCCTTTTTATTTAGACAAAGCAACCTGGGGGCTCCTGGAGTGTGGGCTTTTCATATCGGCAGCACCCCCCGACTGGACAATATCAGGCCAGCAACAGTTGGAGGGGACCTTTCCAAAGGCCACTCTGCAGCTCCCCCCGAGCGTTCCTTCGGCCTCCCTGAGGTCCTGGAAAGTGACTACACTGAGGACAATTTGGATTATTATGATGAGAATGAGAATGAGAATGAGGGGGGAGTCGAATACGCTCCGAGTGAACCAGAGGAAGCACTGAATGGCCACAGCAGTGTTGATGTTTCCTTCCAATCGAAAACTGAGTCAAGACCCATGGGGGGTGGAATGTCTCCACCGAATTCTGATCTGGCCTCCCCTTTGCCGCATCTGACCTCTAGTAACTGGCCATTCTACCCTGAAACGGAATCTGCCACCTTGAACCCTCAACCCAAAGAGGGGAGACATCCGTGGGGGGTGGACACCCCAGATTTAAACGTTCGCGTTGAGTCTTCTGAACAGCCAGGGACCAGAGGCCCAGCTCCATCAGAAACAGAAGGAGAGTCACTGGATCCTTCCCAGGGGACCCTGCCTCCGTATCCTGAAAACAAAAGCATCAACCCCTACACATATGGAGGGGCACCACCATCAGAAGTGGATGTTCCTCCAGCCCTCCCTGAAGGAAAGGTCGTTCTTCTAAACTATCCCTTGCCAGCTCACAGTATACCACTGGGCCGAGGGAGGCAAGTGTTAGGGGTGGAAGACGTCATCACTTCCAACACTGAGGGTAAGTGCGTGAGAAAACCGGGCACTGAGATTTCATTTTTAAAATGCTGGTTTTGCGCAGAGTTATGATTTTTCCCTCCAGGGAGTTGGTGAAACGTTCAGCAAAATGAAGATTGGAACTGACTTTTAAACCTACGTTTCAGGAGACGGAGTATCTTTCTTCTGCCAAGTAAATCTTGGCAGGCAAAGTCTGTTGGAATCTCTTGACCATTAATAATGTTTTTTGTTTTTTTTTTTAAATGGGCCTCACGAAGTAAGTGGGGAAGAACTAGGTTGTTCGTGCCGGCTGTGCTGTCATAGTGTAATGAAGTGTTTCGGTTTGAAAGTTCAGCAAAGGTGAGGCGCCTGGGTGGCTCAGTCAGTCGGTTGAGCATCTGACTTCAGCTCAGGTCATGATCTCGCAGTTTGTGAGTTCGGGCCCCATGTCAGGCTCGTCGCTGACAGCTCGGAGCCTGGAGCCTGCTTCGGATTCTGTGTCTCCCTCGCTCTCTGCCCCTCCCCCGCTTACCATCTGTCTGTGTGTGTCTCTCTCTCACTTTCTGTCTCTCAAAAATAAACAAATATTAAAAAAAAAAGTTCAGCAAAGGTAAGGTGTTCTGAGGCTGCATATACATTATAGTGGCGGAGGGGTGAAGGCTTTAGTTTCAAGTGGCTGGTTGTGCTGGCTCAGATGCACATTCCAGATTCTTGCTCTGTTATCGGATAATGCATGTGCTCCCCTTAGTTAGAGATGCATTGGTGGTGTGTGGGAGGGGAGACCCCTGGGGAAAGAAAGTTGCTAACCACCTGTGCCCTGTCATTTCTGGTTCATGGCTGTGCGGCTGCGGTATTCACCTCCCTGCAGTCTTGTCCTCATTTTATGACTCACTGACCAGTGTGAGGGGGCCAGGAAAGAAATGCCAAGAGGAGACTGTGGTTAATTAATACAGACATGGAGCCATGTTGCCTTCTCTTCCAAATAGAGTCTTGTCACATCAGCTCTTTCTTCCCAGTCAGGGACGTAAACACATGAGTGGGAAACCGAGCACAAATTCATTCCAGTTCCAGGGACTGCTCATCTGACCTCTAATAGGAGGCGAGAGGCCCGAGGTGAAAGCACTCTTCAGGACCTCTGCCCTGCCCCCTGCCCCACCTTTGCTGTTTCCCATTCCTTTTGTAGTAAAAATGTGTTGACCTAGCAGAGGGCCTTCTGGGTTCTTCTGCTGTGGTAGCGATCTCGGAGGACATGCTCAAAGAAGTGCTTATTTTAGGAGGAAAGAAGCTATTTTGTGACAAAAGTGGCATTGTGTAATGATTAGAGGGAGAACACTGGTGTCAGACTTAGGTTTGAATCCTAGCTGCCTTGCTTGCTTGCGCGCTCACTTGCTGGGTGACCTGAGGCAGCTCATGAAACCCTCAAGCCTCTGATTTCTCCTCAGTTTGCTGAGGGGACTATGTGAGATAACAAAGTTCTCAGTGTCTGCACTACCTGATCCTTAATAAATGGTGGCTGCTTTTACTAATGATGGAAGATTTAAGGCAGTAGGAATGAGGTGGGGGGGGGGGTTGGCTAGAGGTTAGGCAAGGGGCTTGTTAAGTCACTATGCCTTAATTTGTGCCTAAGGGCCACTTTTCTGTCAAATGGAAGATGTGAATTTTATTGGAAGCCTTTTCAGTGAAAACTCCATACATCTAAAGAATATTTAAAGCCACGTATCAAAGATTTTTAGGAAAGGGAATTTGGAGGTAAAGATGCAGTCCTAAAATGGTCTTTTCACTTGTGATTTCCTGCCCTGGGAAGAGGATGGAATATTAAGAAGCCGATCTGTGGAAGTGATTGATTGAAGGGTTAAGAAGAAAGGGGCTGCCTAGCCTGCTTTGAGCTGTGAGAGGTTGAGCTTGCTGGAGCGAGGGGAGGAGGCTTAAGGAATATAGAGAACAGAGGCAGCAGCCATAACCCTTCTGGGGCACGAACTATGGTATTTAGCAGCTGCTGGAGGGCGTCTACTCCTGATGTCTTAGAAATGGCAAAATGCAAATGAAAAAGCTGATTAGTACACTGAGACATTTAGGAAAAAAAAAATATCTAACTAGAAATTTTTGAACCGTGAGGAGAAAAAAAATCGGCAACCTCAGAGAGCACAGATAAAACTTGAGAGCAGAGAGGGAAAATCAGTTCTGATTTTCAGGCTTTAGGAAGACTGTGTGGATTATAGAAACGTGCACTTAGTAGATACTTTTTTTTTTTTTTTCAAATGGAAACATTGGCACCCCAGAGGTCCATCAAGCAGAAATGGACTTCCTCTGGGATAGCTGGTGGAGGGGGGTAAGCAGTGACTCACATGGAAAGTTGCCTGCAAGTGTCCAGCCGTGAGCCACCTGCTTGGCCGTTTCTACTGATGGAGTGGGGGAGCATGGATTTGGGTGTTGGGTGACCTGAGCTTGAGTCCCAGCTCTACTGTGTGGTTTGGGCTAAGACATATACTCTGGCCCTCGTTTTCCTCAGCTATTAAATGGAGAAAATGTAAACCTTGTGAAGTGGCTGTGAGGATTGGAATTGAGTATGGCAAGCACCATGCCCAGTGCATTTTTAATTTCCCCTTTAAAACTTACAGGTCATCTTGCCGAACCAAAATATTAAGATTTAAAGAACCCCCAAATATCTCTTCCTCTCTTTTCAAACTTTTTTTCCCCTTAGAGACTCTTTTTATAGACTTTTCTTCTTGTTGAGAAATCTAGATTCTTTCCAGAACCTGTGTACCTCACTCAACGAATGTCCCCATCACGCTCTGTTTTTTTTTTTTTTTTTTTTT